AACACAGATTTAATTTTTTATATGATAGCTTTTGGCTTTGTGTGTGGTCTGTATGAAAGTATTCCTATGCTTGAAGTTAAAAAGAGATTGTTCTGAAGTAGATGCTAATACAAGTGCTATAGACTCTTATAGATGCTAATGTTATTATTAATATTATAATAACTATTTTTGCTTTAAGTAATATATTTATTTAAGTAATATATTTTTTTTTATATTAACATTATTATTTTCTAGCACTATTATTTTTATTAACATTTTTATTGTACTACTATTAATATACTTATTAAATATTTTATTAATTTTTGAGTACTATTAATTATTTTTTTACTACTACTATTATTATTATTATTAGATTTATTTTATTTATTATTATTATTATCATTGTAATTAATATCATAACGGAACATAATTCATTTTTACATTCCTCAAACACAAAAAAAATTTATTATTATTATATTATATTTTTTATTCTTAATAATGAAAATTTAGAAATTGTAAATCACTTTTTTTATATGCCCCTCAATAAAGTACTTTATATAAAATTGTATTCCCATAATGAAAATAAATAAAATTGAAAATAAAACAAATTACTTACTTAAATTTCCGGCTTAATAAATAAAATCTGTATACAGAGTATCCGAAAGTCGTCAGCTCTTCTTGCTTATCTTCATTTATTAGCAAACACATTTTGGTACTAATTGATAGCACAAGCTGGGAAGTTAGTTGGGCAACACTCAATGGAAACGGCATGGACCAAAGAATCAGTAGCAATAGCTATGGCAATAACAGTAGATATATTATTATATGAAAGGCCAAATCCACGAATCCATTGATGGCCACCGTATCGGACGCTCACTTATTTGGCTAAGTGCCGCGTTATGTTGGCCATGTGCTGGGCTTCGTCTGCTAATCAGTTGGCCAAATATGCGATCGCTTACAAATGCCACACAGTCTGAATGAACGTCATTTTTATGCACGTACCCCACGTATGCCCCGCGCACTTAGAGGCCACTCAAAGTACAGCTTCGCGTCACGGCGGAGCAACAACCGGACAAGTTATATGACATAAGAGAGAAAAACAAAACCACATGTATATATGACAGAAGAGAGAAAAAAATATACCAAATATACCATGTGTGCTAAAAAAATCTCCTCGACTTTGGATTTAAAGTGAAGACAGAATCGTAAACGATGTTTAACTCATAGTTCTTGGCAATTATTTTATTTAATTTTTGGTTTATTTCACTTCAGTTGCCCCCGACGCGTCGTTGAACTTGAACAGATTTTTGGTTAGCCAAATGAATATGCTCGAAATAGTAATTAAGCGTCAGCGCGAAGAAGAATATATCGTCAGACCGTATACGAAAATCTTGGCTTGAACTTGACATAGTTCAGTTCTTGGTGTATCTTCGCATAAAATTGCAAAACTATATAAAAAAAAAACTGCTCAGCTAGAATTAAGAAAACATTTAAACACCAATTAATTAAATAGGAAAACGAAACGTTTGCTAAGCGTGTTGTATATGTAAAATTGTTTAACTGTAAGTAGGTTTATCGCCGTTTTAGCCGTTGCTTGCGATCAGGAAACGGAAGTTTTTTTCTGTTTTTTTTTTTTTTTTCATATTTGTTTTTGTTTCAGTTAACTAATAGTTTTTCAATGCGTAAGACAGGTTTTGGGCAAGGGCACATGCAGACTCAACGGTATTTCGCTGATTTCGATTAGCCGTAAATGTGCTGAGGCTAGATCGATCGCTTGATCGACCGATAGATTGTTAAATTATTATACGGCGTGTTATAATGTGATAGATACCTTCATTGGGCATTTCCGTGCTAAAAAATCAGGTTTAATTTACGCTATATTAGTTCTTAATACTAAAGTGGGCTAATGCTAAGACTAAAGAAACTTCGTAGTACTCGGACCTTCACTGAGATGTTCATGTGTTCTTTGACACGCTCGCCTCTGCTTCTAAATATAATATATGCTAACCATTATATTGTAGGGCATACGGAACATGTATAAAGTTAATATGTTCTGCCAGCTGCAGTTGAATTGTTCTAGCGAAGGAAGTCAAAGTTTAAGTGAATAAATAATTTATTTAAGTCTTGCTAAATGTGATCTCCATTAACCTCAAAAGTCTGATATTTCTATTGTGCTCAAATAATTAGCTTAGACTAATAGAATTATAATTTGACTTTGAAATGAATATTCTGCGAATCAAAAGAAGCTAAGCCCATGGGCAAAAGCTAAAGCTCTTACTCGCTTTGGGAATCCCTTCTAATTTATTTTTATTTTTGTTTTTTTTTGGGGAGTTTTCAATGACCCCAGCAAAAAGAGGTTCTTCAGGGTTATAAATTGAAGCAACTGTAACCAGGCGTTTTTAATATAATTGTTTTATCACATTGTAGAGCCTCTGTCTTATGTAACATTACAAAAATGTCTGCTGATGGTTCTCTCTCACTTCATAGGTCTCTCATGTATCGATCTAGTAGCTATAAAATAATGCACTAAATATAATGGATCAGCCATCAGAAGATTGCCAAGATGATCTTTTGCCCATTCAGCTTGAATAGCTATTGCGAAATTTGGATATCGAGCTTTGGCCTATTTACTTTCCCTTATAGCAAGTCGAATAAATGATTGACTCCATCGACTTTGCTCTACAGTATCAACACGATTTAGTCTGTCAGCCAATGCATTCTCTCCTCACATTAGGCCATTCACCTGAGACAACTTTAAATAGAATAAAGCAAGCTAACAAAAATGGCTAAAGTTACCTCTACTCATAGTTTAAATAGTTCGAAAATAATATTATTTCAACTGCTGAGCTTCTACAGCAGACCCAAAGCATCGGCATGAGCAGCGAAACCAAATACGAAGCCAAGCTTTAGTTAAATTAAAACTAGTTGGTCACATCTGCACAAGCTTTGAAGCCAAACTAAAAAGCAACGAGCTGTAGATGGCGCTAACAATGCTGCAAAGCTGAAGAAACTGTTTAAAGCCACAATTAAACGAAACATTAAGCTTTTTATTACAAATTAAAATGCTCAACGACTTGTCATGCAAAGCGTGTAATTAAAACGTGGTTAATTATTGTAATTAAGTAAGTAATTGTTGTAAATAATGTGCTTAAATATTGCTCTAAGGGATGATAGTTACACAGACTCTAAGGGTATTAGGATCAAATAAGCTAGCTGCGATCTTGGCTAGAATTAAAAAAATATATATATGTATCTATAAATGCCTCTTCATTACTAGGAACTTGGCACGATCAAATTAGGAACTGAGCAATACAGAAAAGACAAACAAAGAGGCACAGAAACATGTACATTTAATTGCGAGTGTGATTTTTGTTTTGTTTTGTATAAGAATCGCAATTATTAATTAATAACCAATAATAATTGTTAACGGTTTCGTCTTCGTATGTAAATATTTGCGGAAGAAAATTTGCATAATCTGCAAGTGGCTCGTGTCTCGAGGCGCTTGAGATGAGACTCGCGTCGATCGCCTCGTCAGCCAAGCCGTAACTATTGCCGCATGATAATAAACCAAATCAACAAACTTTTGCATATGATTACGTTGGGTGAGATACGCGACAAACAAAAGCCAGCGACAAATCATATCAAATGCGCTGTGATGACCGGAAGAGAGCGTTGAGTAATGTCTTCGGCATGGCTAAGGATAAGTGATTGATAGGCGAGCGTCAGCTGTTATCATGTTCAGCAAATAGACAAGCATCTATGCTGCCAATGAGACTAATCACAGCTAGTAATCTTGGCCCACAGCAGCCGCGACCAGTTCAAGCCAAACTGGACGAGTTTTGCGAGCCATAAAGAGCAAAAAAGAAGAAATCACAAAAACGTTGGCGTTGGTCAAGCAGGGTCAAGTTCAATATGCCGGTGACACAGTTAACCAAATATTCAACTTTCAGTGACCCCAGCCTCAGCTAGATTGCAGTCAAAAGTGTGTGAGGCTAGCCTCAAATTTCGACCCGGAAATAACATTGCGATCGGCTCAAGAATTGCGCCCTGGGCCTCAAGAATTCATATGTAAATTATCAAAATGATAATATAATAATATTGCGACTGGTTTCGTTTTTTATTTATTTTTTGTTTTTGATCATTTGTATTTTACCCGGTCAAGTGTCTCCTTGAATAGAGCCGCCATCAACGGAACTCAATGGCCAGCCAAAGGCTGACCTTGATCGCATAAAGATATCTGATTTTTCTTTTAGTTATTGCGCTCTATTTCCTCTCCCTTATTACAGAGCATGTAAAACATAAATCTTACAACGTGCTTTAGCATTTTTGTCCACACAGCACTTGTGGGGCGCTGCGTGTGCCAAGAAAGTGTTTAAAACTCACTTATATGGCACAAGGTTTAACTAAAACCTAAAACCTATGAACCTAAAGCTTAATGCGTGAATCAGATTCTCCCCTCCCTCTTTCTTTCTCTATCTGTATATATATAAATATATGATATGCTTATGTATTTCTGATTATGTACCGCAATATGTTTCCGAGTTCTTGCTGCTTGCTCTCTTTCGGGCCAATACCATATTCTACAACTGGCCAATAACAACAATTATGGTAAACATTAATTATAATACAAATGCTGCAAACGTAAGCGCCAAAATCAATTAAAATTCAGCCAACAACTAGTGGAAATACAATAACCGGCAAACCTGACAGCAAAGACACAGCAATAAAGCCGTCGAGCTGTTTGCCAAAAGGCTGTTTGTCATTATGGTGATGATGATCAATAGAAAAGCTAAACGAGACCAGTCGACGCAATGAAACGCAGCTTCCAAGCAAATGAAGCGACACAAAAGAACATTTAAACAGCAGATGCGACAACAACAAACAGCAGCAGCAGCAGCAGCAACAACTGCCAGCAGCTAGCCCAGTAGAAACCAACAGCGGCTAAGCTGAAATACAAAACAAAAAATCAAAAACCTATAGACGAAATTTTTATACATAGCAGCGCACAAATCGGCGTAGCAGTTCAGTACGCGTACAAGTCTCGTGGGTAGCGGATGCCAGCAGAGGTCTCTCTCCCTTAATATATACCAATAATTATAAACAAACCAACAAAAAGACATAAAAAAGAAAAAAATCACAGTTGTCATGGTGTTAGCATTAAGAGCAGTCACTGTTGTTGTTGCTGTTGCTGTTGTAAATTAAGTGTACGGCTCTTGGAGAAGGCAACTGTCAACCGAGACGATTGCAACAGGTGCTTGTGCTCGGATTTGTCAGTGCTCAAAGATATATACACACAATTTGTATATATGCGTTTATAAAGAAGATTTGCAAAAGACTTTAAGAATATGTGCCGTGTGTGACAGGATTCATTTATCAAGTAGCCGCAGTGTGGCACGGCTGAAGAGCTTAAAATTAATTAGAATTTGTGCTGAGCGGGAATTATTATAAAGTAGCCGCAGTGTGGTATGCCAAAAGAGCTTGTGATCTTTATGAATTAAAGCTGAGCAGGAGCTAGGATCAAGTAGCCGCAGTGTGGCACAGTCTGAAGAGCTTGAAGCATATTGAAGTAGCTTCAGAGTTTTTTGAATTAGTTCAATTCAGGATTTGTTCATCTAGTACCTGTAAAGTAGTACGCAAAAGAAGATTGAGAGCTTTATGAATTTCAGTTGATCAGCAACTAATATCAAGTAGCCGCATTGCGGTACTTGGAAAGAGTTAGAGATCTTCTTGAGTTCTTGTTGTAAATGAGTTATTATCAATTAGCCGCAGCACGCATTAATAGTTTAAGATCTTATAGAATTGTGATTCACCATTTGCTTATCAACTGGCTAAAATAGAATTTGAGAGCTTGAAGAACTCATGCTGGACAGTAGCTATTATCAAGTAGTTAAATTAGTTTTATTACGTGTGAATCAATATAGATTTATGTAAAAATTCCTATTGAAAAGCGTGGCGCATGCGTAAAACTTACAACGCTGTTAAACAGGATTTGTTTGGGTACAGCCAGAGCTTAGAGTTAGTGATTATGCAAATCATATGCAAAATAGATTTAACGGAACACGCGAGTCAATGGGTTGACACCAAGGTCCATTCAACTTTTAGTTGAACCTCCAACTAATTAAGTTAAATATGTGACGCATGGTTCTTACGAAATGTCTGTTAACAATTGTTGACACAATTTGCTGCTCACCTTAGGCTTAGCTCAGGGCCAAAGAAGAAGCAAGAGTAGACGCAGACGCAGACGCAGTCGCAGCCGTTGCCTGCCCAAGCCCAAGCCCATTTTAACAAATGACTAGCCATGTGGAAATGCAGCGAATCCACAAAACTCTCTTCGCTGATGCGAATGCGATATATGCAAAGTTTCGGACAAGCTGCTCAGAATAGGGCGCAATACTTAGAAGCTCGAGAAGAGGAAAAAAACGAGGTCTCAGGCATCATTTGTTCATTAGCCAAGCGCAAATTTGATGGTTCATTTGCGCGTCTGTCTGTTTGTTTATTTGACTTTTGTCAGTTTTCAAAATTGATAATTTGAAAACCCGATTCTATGTGTATGTGTGTGGCGCGCACAGTTTTTGGTTACTTTTTTTGTTTCGACTTTAGCTGCTTTTTAGCACCTTCCATGTATTGGCTAGGTCGCGGCTCATTTTCTGGTTCGTTCTGCGTTAATTGTTGCAGCATCAACAACAAACCAACAGACAACAAAAGCAACAGCAACAAAAGCAAACAAGTGCAGGAAATGAGCCAAGCAAAAGCAAACCAGTCGACGCTTATGGCTTATGGCTTGTTAGCCAACATTGCCCTTCAATGTTTATAGATAGCTGTATATATATGTGTATATTGATCGAAATATATGACAGAGCAGCTCAGAATATTGGTGTGAAAAAATGACCACGGAACTGGGCAAAGAGCCAAAGACGCCGAAAAGTCAAAAAGCCACTTTATAAGCGCTTGACGCTGACTTCTGTGGCCTTTGTGGAGTTCAACTAGCCACTTAATGCAGCTAACATAGTTAACAGTTATTAACATTCGTTGTTATTGTATTGTTGATAATTATTTTTAACAGCTGTTTCGCAGCTGCTTCGTGCCACTGTGCGCACACGTGAGCATCGCGGTCTCTAGATGGCCAAAAATGGAAAAATATTATTGTTGTTGTTGTTGCTGCGTCACCCAATTACTTGTTGATCTTGTGAAGCAATTTGTTTTCTACGCTTGTTTAATTCATAATAATGAATATAATTTACTCTTACTCCGGTTACATGATAATTTTGCATTGCACAGCCACACACACTCACACACACACAGCTAGGCACAACAACAAGAGCTCAAAGCAAACGGCGACAGCTTTCAGCAGCTCAGTCTTTTTTTCGACAATTTTTTGTAGCAAAAAAATTGCGTTTGTCTTATAGACACACCCAAAGCGTTGACATCAGACAGCATCCAGCACCCAGCACCCCGCTCAGCATCTGTATATGTATCTCAATTTGCATCTTTTAAGCGCTTCGGATTGCCGCAACTAAGAAGTCAACTGCTTTCGTGTGTTTCTGATTGTTTTTTTTTTGTGGCCAAGTCATGCTGGCTCGGCAACAGCAGCCGCAATATCTTGTTAAAGCAACTGGTCTCTGCTATTGCTGTTGCTGTTGCTATTGCTGCTGCGACTGCTTCTTCTTTTCTATTAACATATTTTTTTATATTTATGAACTTGAAAGCAACAAAACGCAAGCTCTTTCTAAAATGTTTTGTTTTTTCTTTTTATTTTACTTTTAATTTTTAATACGCGCCGTACAGAACATTGGACGAAAACACGTTCGCTTCGAGCGCTTAGCAGATTTTTAAATTTCACGCAAAAAACAACTTCTGCTGAACCCCCAACAGCATCTTAAAACATCAACAACAACCAGCAGAGGAAGTCAATAAAACGAATTTAAAAATGGCGGCCGTCAACGGAACACAAACGGACTATTGGAACTTTCTGTTCATCGAGCTGGCAGGTGAGCACTGTTTACCTATTTATATATATATATATATATATATATATATATATATATATATATATATATATATGTATATGTATATCAATCTGAATACCTTGTAGATCCCCGCACCAATGACTGGTTCCTCATCAAATCCCCACTGCCTCTGCTAACAATTCTGGGGCTCTATTTGTACTTTGTACTCTCATGGGGTCCGCGTTTCATGCGCGATCGCAAGCCCTTCAAGCTGGAGCGCACGCTGCTGGTCTACAACTTCTTCCAGGTAGCGCTCAGTGTTTGGATGGTGTATGAGGGCGTTATCATATGGCAGTATTATAGCTGGCGCTGTCAGCCGGTCGATTGGTCGCGCACACCCAAAGCCTACAGAGAGGCACGCGTTGTCTACGTCTATTATCTGGCTAAGATCACGGAGCTGCTGGACACGATCTTCTTTGTGCTGCGCAAGAACGATCGTCAGGTGACGTTCCTGCATGTCTACCATCACACAGTCATGCCCATGATCAGCTGGGGCACATCCAAATACTATCCCGGCGGTCATGGCACCTTCATTGGCTGGATCAATTCGTTTGTGCACATCATCATGTACTCGTACTACTTCCTGTCGGCCTTTGGACCCCAAATGCAGAAGTATCTGTGGTGGAAGAAGTACATCACCAATCTGCAAATGGTAAGTGCTCCATAAAGAGATATAGCTACTGTAGCTGATATCTTGTCTGTCCCCTTATAGATCCAGTTCTGCTGCGCTTTCATTCATCAAACCCAGCTGCTCTACACCGACTGCGGCTATCCGAGATGGTCTGTCTGCTTTACCCTGCCCAATGCCGTGTTCTTCTACTTCCTCTTCAACGACTTCTATCAGAAGTCTTACAAGAAGAAGCAGGCCGCGGCCAAGGCCAAGGCAGAGGCCGAAGAGATCACCAACAGCAGCAACAACAACAACGACAACAACAACGAAAGCTGTGCCAAGAATCTGAATGCCGCCATAGCCACAAGTGCAGCACAGCAAAAGAAGGTGCTGTAAGGCAGCTAGGAAAATACTCTAACTCTATAATCTCTAAGCCCCTCCAAAACACACACACACACACACACACACACACACACACACACACACACACACACACACACACACACAGAGTAATACTTAATGGAATTCACATAGAATATTTTTTTATATATATTTGGGAACTTTACCATTTAATGCTTAAGTCTATGGAGCGGGCGTTGTTCTATGCACAACTTTGTTGACTAATTTGTTAAGTAATCCGCCGCCAAAAAAAAAACAACGAGAAGACAAATGAAAATATTGAGAAATTTTAGGTTTGAGTTAATAGGCAAACAGTTAAATGCTTTTCGCAGCCATCGCTTCGTTTGATGTGTGTTTGTGTATTTCCCCCCGCCGCCTCCTCGAGCAACACAAATGAAAGAAGTTGTATGTTTACGGCCCAAAAAACAAAATAGCTGAAAGAAGCAGAGGAAGAGGAAGAACAAGTCGAAGATGAAGAGTAAAAACCGATTTAAGTTAAGTAAGCGCTTAGGAACAAAACAAAAAAACGGAATTAGTTGTGTAAATAAGTTAAGATACGCTTTTGCCATAAGCAAATGTGTTAGATAATATATATATATATATCTATATATATAAAGTTATTGGCATGTAAAGTACCTAGGCTTAAACAAAAAGATACCACAAATACAAATAAATATAATTTTCTTAAAAAAATAAAACAAATTTCTGGTGTTCCATGAATTGCAATTTCGAACTAATCATACGGATGTGGATGGATGGATAGCTGAGTGTGCCGGAAGCATTCTATATAAGAGCTGAACAAAAGACTTGCCACTAATGGGAGTGTGTGCTGTGTGGGGCGTGGCAGAACAGGTCCATGGCGCTGCTAGCCATGCAGATTGGACAAGCTCATGAATTTTATTATAATTGCAGAACAGATATTGGCATTGTTAGAACCCGGCATTAAACGAAAATCTGTTTCTAGCTCACCTTGAAGATGGCAGCTGTTCAGTTAGTGAAATATATGTACACATGTATGTCTGCTGTTGTGATGCGCATGAGCCCTGAGCTTTTCTCACAACCTTTTTATTGATCAATCTGTCAAAACAAAACGGAACCTTAAAATCCAAAGCGGAAGCCAAACAGCATCATTGAAGAGCAGCCAACAGCAACAGCAACAGCAGCAGCAGCAGCAGCAGCATCAGCAGCCGCGGCATCTTAACGAGCTGCTAACAGTAGCATTTAAGCCGGTTCTGGTTTTGGCCTTGATCTTGACCACAAGCGCTTAGCGTCTCTTTGACTCGTTGTGTGTGCTCGAGCTGCGTTTGATTTGGTTTAGATTTTCGGCGATTTCGGCGCAGGGCCGTGCTTTAGGGTCGCTTAAAGATTAAAGATCATTTGTGTCTGTTTCTTATCGATATTGGTTTTATGTGAATTTGCTTGCTCCAAAATTTATAGTTAATTTATTTCTGTTTTTATTACAACTTTATTTCCTCATAATCAATTTGAGTCAATTTGGATTCAGTTTTGTTTTGTTTACATATATATACAAGACTTGTTCTGACTAAGTAAAACAATTTGAATAAATTTAGTTTTGTTCACAGATACGTTTCGCATCAGTGTGAGGCAGAGATTTTGATTTCCAGCAGCAATTTTTCACACTTCATTTTTCCAATGCATTTTCAGCAGCGCCTTAAAGTATGCAAGAGAAATGTGTTTTTTTTTAATGCTCAAACTGCAGTTGACCCAGCGACATTTGAGCTTGGGTTCGTATAAGCTAGTTATGGCTAGTATATATACCAGCTAAAATTCAATAGCGCTGAAGGTCGCACTTAAGGCAAATCCCAATCATGCCATATCTACGGAAATTCACTGGAGTCTAAACAAAATCGGTTTTTTTTGTCATCTATATAAAATGACTTTAAGCCTCACATCTCATTAGTATTAAGATAAACAAAAAAAACTGGAAGACGCTGGGAACGCTCTGGAAGCTAAAATTTCATATTTGTGTAATTTGCATTACACAAGGCTTTATATTTATGTAAATAAAAAGTTTCTGACTTACAAAACAGAGTCTAATAATAAGATACTACATTGACAATCTATATATAAAGATTACCAAAGCAATAGAGTTGGAGATTTTAGCGACCGGCGTGCTTTGGACTTAATCTTCGCAAGTCACGACCCGTTCAGCAATGTTTTCAACTGTTTTGCATATTCGGTGATTAATGGGATGGTATACGGGCAAAGCATGGCCAGGGAGCACGTCTTTCAAATTCTGGAATAACTTGTCTCCGTGGACTTGTAGTATACTTGATTGTATAGACTCTATGTATGTATTTCAGTATATACATATAGTTTTGATTGTTTAATAAGCAACAATCTATGCATCATTCATCTGGCAGAAGATATCATCGAAATAATATGCCCTTTGCACTCGTGTGGCTCAGTATAAGCAAAATAAAAATAAACGAGAAACAATTTGTAGAAATTAGAATTTATAATTTTCTTTGATTATGTGTTTCTTAAGAGTCGCCATAATGTCTCGCGGAATGAACCTGTTTTTATGTTAGACAAAGAACAGAAAACAATTGCATAACCAAAAGGCACGCGAGTCAAGTTCAAGCCGAAGGCCCTGTCGTCTGTGCGAGTATTAATCATTGCAATAAAGAAATTCAGCTGTTGGGATCTGCATAAATTTGATATTTAGCTTGCCACGAGCTGGTTTCAAATTTCAGGGGCTAGCGGGTACCCTGCGGCTGTCATAAATATATCGAACCGCAACTGGTTTGTCCGGTGATTAGAAAGAACTCGAAGGCCAAAATGGCCAAGACCATATTCTCAAAAATCATGTGAGAATATTGCAATGGACTGCGTAGCACTTGTGCTCAGTTAAATATAGGAATGAAAATGCGCTACTCGATAAACATATTAACAGTTATCGATAGGATTTTGTTGTGCAATTGTTTCATTTATCGATTCAAATAGCCAAAAGAGCTCAAAAGCAAACAGAACTCAGTCTTTAAGGCATCGATACTTCTTGAATGCAGCTTAATTTACTATAGATCTTGATAGATGCATAAATTTAACTTAATTTCCAAATGTTAATATACAACATGCCACTAAGCCAGCATACCCTATCCACTCTTTGGTTAGAGTATTTCAAATTATGTAATAAAAAGTCAAATGAATTTCTAAAAAAGAGTTAAAATATTGTTTTTATTTTGTTCAGCATTGACGTAATTGGAAACAAATCAATTTTCGATTCTTATTAACAACAAGTTGTTTGCATTTCAATACTTAGGGCAATACACACAAACAGGCAGACACATGCACACGCACACACACTCACTTCCACTCACTCTCACACACTTACACACCTAGGTATTTGGATGAAATCTTCTGCTGTTTGGCATCAACTTTATACACTCTACATTTACGAAGCTCATCATTCAGATTCATTTGTTCATGTACAGTTAGGGTTATGGATAAACGTTTAACACTAGACTTAAGCCCCGATCTAAAAAAAACGTATGATTAACCTAAAGACAAAGCAACCCTACCAAAGTTAACCCCGAACTTAGCCTATCTGCTCATTCCATCTTCAGGGGCTTCACATTGTTATTGTTCAGGTCGATGTAGGGCTTATAGTCGCTGTTGTTGTTGTTGTTGTGGATGTTGTGGATTTTGTTCTTGGTTGGCATTGGCATGCAGCCCATGCCACCGGCAGCCCTCAGTGCCGACTGAGCCAGATTCATGCTCCTGCCACCAGAGCTCATGGCATTACCATTGGCATCGATGGTCTTGTTCTTATTGTACGTCTTCCGATAGAAGTTGCCGAACAAATAAAGGAAGATGATCGTGTTGCCCACAAAGAAGAAGGTCAGCGTCTTGGGCATGTTGCAGCCCTTGGCGCCCACGGTCAGCATATAGCCAAGAATGAGGACAAACTGAATCAGCTGAATGCTGGTCATGTACTTCTTCCACCACAGATACTTCTGGTATTGAGGTCCCATGGCGGCGACCATATAGTAGAAATACATAATGATATGCACACCGGAGTTGAGAATGCCAATGATGACGCCCTGTTCGCCGGGCGCATACTTCAGATAGCCCCACGAGAAGAGCACTGTGATCGTATGATGGTAGACGTGCAGGAACGAGACCTGATTGTTCTTCTTGCGCAGCACAAAGAACGTGGTGTCCAGCAGATCGATGATCTTCGAGAAGAAGTAGAACCAGGCGCCCGAATAGAGAGCCAAGTTCTGTTCGCGTGTGCGGTTGATTTCGCACTTCTTAGACAGTATCGATGCCATGACATTGCTCTCCTTAAAGGACTGCAAGCGATATAGGTAGAGCAAATAATTGATGTCATACGATTAGTTTACAATCACATTCAGTATACGCCACGTGTGCTTACCGTACGACACATCCATATGGAGTAGCAGACCTGAAAGGCATTGTAAAACACCATAATGCGCTTCAGATCCATGGGCTTACGATTCTTCATATACTCCGGGCCAATTTTGAGCACGAACGCCAGATAAACCAGCACCACAGCGACAACTGGAGCTGGTGAGCTCATCAGAAACCAGCTGTCCACAGTTTCATCTAAACGGGGTTTTTCGAATTATAGATTGTGTTCTCGATCGAGCATCGATGCCAACTCACCAACACCCTTGGCCAGGCCGGAGATGCGTTCCTCAAAAATTTTCATATAGGTTGTCATTTTCCTTCTTTTTATATTTTTTTATTCAGCTATACGACTGAAATGAAAGAGATTGCAAGACATTTAGAAATTTTCGTTCGATCGGATGTTTTTTTTTTTCGTTATTTGGCCGCTGACGTCCGAACAGCGCGTTGCCAAATTATTGAATGAAATATTCTAAGCTGAACGCTGCTTAGACAGGCCGTGCACGTCCAACTCGAATCGAGACCGAGACGGAGACAGCGACAGAGACGGAGACAAAGACGTAGACGAATCGCATCGAGTTGGAGCTGTTGCTGGAGCCGGGTGCTTGATTATGCTCGCTAGGTGAGCGTGCGCGGCATAGGAATGCAGCTAGCACGCAAATATTTTACTTAATGAAAAAGAAAATGCTTAAAGGGGACGCTGCCGGCAAAGCAGGGGGGCGAGACAATGGGGCGACGTCAGCCCAAAACCGTGTGGCCAACAAATGACGACACCGACAACAGCTGCCACACAGAGGCTGCAGCCGGCGGCCAACAAATAAAACAATATCTCAATTCAATCAATGCCAAGTCGGTGCAGCAGCAGCAAGAAAAAAAAAACGAAAAAAATTAATAAACTTAAAAAATAAAACATAAAAAACATCAATAAGAGAATTCGCATAATTAAAACGTTTGGCTTCTTGATGGTGTTTGGGTTTAGTGGTTCTGCGACCGCAAGTTACTGTGGCTTAAAGACCTGATCAAGTTGAGCTATCTGTGCATGTGTGTGAGAGTATATGGGAGTGTTTGTATGTGTGTGTGAGTGTGGCATTCTACAAGGCTACATTTGAATTTTTCGCCTTGGCACTAAAGTCGTATAACTTTGGCATTCATCTTGCAGATGCCAAGTGTAGAGCTACACATATGTGAGCTTTTAGTATTCAAGATGGCGCAGCCTCGCACTCACACACACGCAGGCACACCTATATAGATACTGCGAGGCAATGTTCTAAGCCACATCTGCTGGTTGCCTAACCCGCTTCTCGCTCGCCTATTTAAATATTTTATATACTTTTATTTAATCAAGTATTTGTATATACGTCTATATAGATGCTGGTTATATACAAATGTATTCCTTTTTGTTATTTAAATTGCATACGGAACAACATTGAGCACCTATGTCTTTATTTCATTGCTTTTGTCTTTATGTCAGGCTGAATGTGCTTGGCAAACGATGAGATATTAATTTTCAATTACGGCGTCGCTTGCTTTTGGGCAACTTGTTTTGATATTTCGTCGAATTAAAATATGTATAGAGATCTAGTGCCCAGAGCACTTCCGGTTCACGACCTTGCCAAAGGGCCATTCTATAAGCCACAATTTTATTTCGATTTCATTGGTTTTCAGATTTTTATATTAATTTGTGTAAGTTCTTGGAAATTTCCAGTTTCATGAATAGAATTTCGAACTGAACTTGATATGTGTTAATTAGTAAAATTTCTATTTACATTTATTAATTACTTAGTTCCATATACAGCCTTCGACGCAAATTACGAGACACGCGGCACACACTGCGTATGCTTGATATCTTAAAATGAATCTGTAACAGTAGCCGAAGAAGATCTGGCAGAGCTGATGAGAATTGTACCTGAACTGTTGTCAACTGTGGACATTTGATGACTCTATCGCACACTGATCTTACACGAACGCGGCAATGCCAACGACTGTGCCACATTTGCCCAGCTTAGACGGGACTTCGAGCCCAGTTATGGGCTTGTGCCTGGATCAGCGAAGCGTACCCCATTGACGCTCGGTCATCTCAGACGCTAATTTGTATGCAGGCCGTGGCCGGGCCGCGGCCGAGCTGCTAGCGTCAGCAAAACAGCTCACAGATTGACACTGGAGACAGGAAAATGAGCTCTGCGGCATTATCACGACCAAAAATGTGACGACAAACGTACGACAGATGGACAGACGGACGGATAGTCAGCCAGTCAGATAGACAGCTAAATAGACAGTTGGCACTGCACTTGCCCTTGCCCTTGCACGGTTTTGGGATCGCGCACCTAATGCGCTGCTACAGTTTGTAAGCCCAAAGGCCGCTGGCCCCTTCTAAGTCTCTGTCTACGCTCTTGCCTCATTAGCGGCAAATTTACTAGAGAAATTAAATTTATATATAGATGTATATATATAAATAAAATGGCAAATGAAAGCAATAAACGCATAGCTAATATACATATATATATATATATATACCTGTATAAAACTATATATATCTATGTTTATAGCATAAAGACAGCAGCGCACGCAGCGCTAAATTGATTTGTATGCATAATTGATTTTTGCGATTTTTGTTGCTGTAGCCTTTAACAGCGTGTATTTGTCTCGTTATTGTTGCTTCTCTAAAAAAAAATTTATATATATATATATCTATATATATGTATACCACTATTGTCAGAATTAGAATTGCTCAGCTTTAGTTTTATTTTCTTAAATTTTAATTTTTGTTCGTGTCAAACATCTTGTTCAGACTCAGGCTACTCCAAATGATCGAAATCTAAACAATGAGCGAAAATAACCCAGTCAAAAAAAAGTACATACAATTTGGAGTGAGAGACAAGTAAATGAAAGACTATAAGATACCCTAAGTCTTCGTACTCCTACATACTTTTGCTTATCGTATCGATACCTATCGATTTTATGAAAAATGTTATTGATTACTTGATATCTATATGTATAACATGCATCCATCAGAGGAGTTAGATCTTGATCAAGAATATGTGTTTACTGCTAGCGCTTACAGAAATCTTTAATTGTCTGTTATATAGACAAAACTAAGTCAGCATACTCCATCAACTGACTTGCAATGCGTATAGCATAGAAAAAGCGAAGCACACAAAAAAAATGGTGGCAAGTGAACTTAGCCCAGTTATTCAGGTTCTACTTCTTATATATAGACACGCCTATATATATATATATATATATATATATTTTTTTTTATGTCTCTATATATATATACATTCATCTAGTATATTCTTTTGTTACTTTTAGCAGTTTTGTTTTTTCTTCACACGCCGCAATTAATGAACTTTAGTGCAGCTGCATCTGCTGCATCTCGCTTGTTGCACTTAGATAATTGCACTAGGCAAATAATTACAAGCCAATGGGCGACAAATACACACACACACACACACACATGTTTTTGTATAATTTTCCCTATTTCGTTTTTCACACAAACTGACAAGTGCCGTGTGACCCCCAAGCTCACACCCGAAGTACCACCGAAAAGCATCAGATCGAAGCTCCGGCACGGATGTTTAGTGTGCGCATACATTGTAACGTAATTTTCACACGCATCTACCTATATGCTAAAGGTAAAGCAAACAATTGTCCGTACTCATAGACTGTGTGCACTGCCATTTTCTATATAACACCAGATTTTTCTCCTATATAGATGGAGTACTGGCAATCCCTAACAAGATCGAATTGCGCAAATATGATCTATTGGTCTTATATAGTTAGACGATATTTATACCTATGTATATATTTTTATATATTTGTATATTTATATATTTATATATGTATAAACAGTATATGCTTACTGAGTTGTTATTTGCTGACGTTGCGAGCCATCTAAATTTAATAATAATTTTTTACTGATAATGTTTAGTGTCAAGACAAAACCGCAAAATGTAACTTTTTTTTTGTGCGAATTATTAAATATCAATAAAAAATTAATAATATTCGGTTCTGTATTTCCTCGGACGGAAAACAAAAAGATATGTAGATTGCTTATAAAAAAACTGAAAATCTTATTTAAAATGATATATTTTAAATTTATATATATTATATATGCCTAAAGATTTGTAGATTTCTTGTGAAATCTTTTTGCATTTCTAAATTGCTTTATTTCTATTTTTATTGTATCTATTCAATTTCTTTTTCTATTTATCTATGGTTTTATCTAATAGCTAATAGCTGCCTATATTTCCATATATTATTTAGCCCAGTCTTATAAGCTAAGCTTGGGCGCAAATATGTAGAAAATTAACAAACAGAAATTATTAGTATGTGTATACATTAAAGAATGTGAGACATACAAATATATATGTATATATATATATATATATATATATATATATATATATACGAATTTATGCATTAATATACCAAAAAATATAGATATAAATTGCACATTAATTTCGACTTTGGTCAAAACTATTATGAGGTCTATTAATGTGTTTTGTTTTGATTTGTTTTTGTTTTTCTTTCTTCTTTCAACTTGGCTTTAATAGATTTCCTTATTGTTGTATTATAAGCACCCAGTAAACAACTGTTGCAAGTGGAGCTTGGCATGGGGGGGGGTCAATCAATTAGTCGAGGCTCAAAGTTATATAAGTCACTTAGTATATGTTTTCAAGCTGACTTTAGCCCTTGAATTAATTTGAACGCCTAGCGCCTAGACAAGAAACGAGTCTTGGGCAACAGACCAGGTCTTAGCCAAAGAGGCGCTCGTTTAATTACTTGGTAAATATTTGCAGCGTTAATTGGGTTTTGACATTTCGGGTCTCTCTTTAAGTTGGACAAGTCTTGCTGACTAAGCGGCGCTCCATTTTGAAAATACGTTGCGGGAACAGGCGGGTGGAGGCTGTGCTTAGCTATTAGATTTGATCTTGATGCAGCTTGCATTGTAATCGCCATTTATTGATTACAAGTTCAAAGCGTTTAGTTTTGGCCGCCTCAAAGTTGTCAGTCTTGGCCTTGGCTGACTAGCAAAATTGCAGCAACTGCAGCAACTGCAGCAGCAGCAGCCACAGCAGCTCCTCAGACAAGTTTTCAGCACTTAATCTATGTGCATTGCATTGGGTTAAGGTCAACTAGAAATATCAGACAGCTAGAGCCAGGCACCAATAAAGAAACATTAGCAAAGAGCAACAAAATTGCAACTAACGAAAATTAGTCAAGGCAGCGCGAATAGCTGAGCCAAGCTGTGCTAAACTGAGCTGAACTGAACTGAACTGAGCTGAGCTGAGCTGTGCCCAGCTGGTGCAAACATAGGCAACTGTGCATATGTGCAACAATTCAAGTTAGTGTGACAGCAAGATTTAGCAGCCAGTGACTGTCAGCAGTGCCGTCCATAGCTAATTTAAGTGCGAGTGTTATCGATAGGCTTTACTTCCACACTGTTGGCCCATGATCGATAACAATAGTCGATTCACTTCCGTACCTGATTTGTACTTTTTTATGGATGATCCCGTTGCACACCAACACACACCACACAACACTCACACACATACACGAATTGCAGCACGAAGCACTGAACTGCTGTCAGACACTCACACTGGGTTAGATGAGGATACGAGAAACCCGTCAACGGCGAACGCCAAGAAGACACTAATACGGAGTTCTACACGCTCGGCTGTATAAATAAACAAAAATTGCGCGTTCATCCGCCGGCTGAACCGAAGCGTTGACGTCGTTGACGAAGCCGCGCGGCCAGCGTTGGCAGCGGCCAGAACGCGGACCCAGGCCCAAACCCACAAGCACACACACACACACTTACACCAACAGCAACAGTAACAGGCCCGTGATTTGGTTTCGGCTTGGTCTTGGTCAATCCATTACTCGTTTCTTTATTGTTCGGCTTGTTGCAAATCGAAGTCGCGTTAATTGCGGATTTCAGTTGCGGAGGGCTTAAGACTTTTTTGGCACTTGTTTTAATTTTATTTTTGGTGGTAAGGTCAAGTTTGAAGCAATTATTGCGTCTGCTAAGCGGCCAAAAAGAAAGCAAAACTCTTATTTTTTGTGCGAAAATTGAATTTGTTGTTTTTTTTTAACAAGTTTATTAACCTCCTTAAAAGTCACGCGCTGTCTATTGGGAGATTCTCCGGTAAATCCAAAACCCTCATTCAAAACAAATGAAAACATAACACTTGAGCGTGAGTTCAAAAGCACTTATAAATATGAGTATTCTTTAGGATGTGCCTCGCCCCACTGGAGAGCCATAAAATGTATAAGTCTGACTGTGGATTGGCCACCAAAGAGGCAGCTGCCGATTTGGCGATATTAGCTCTTTAAGTTAGTCACATATTCACTATATATTCTAATCAGTCTAAAAAGGAGGTCTTCGCTTAGTTATCAAATTTGTAGCCTCTAGCTCAGAAATTGTGGTAGTCGATTTGAGTCATATATATATATAATTTTTGATCAATCAATAAGGAAGGTCAATAGTAATCCATTTACCAAATCTATATGCTCCAACTAAATCACACATAGTTTAGCAGCCACCAATTGGCCCTGTGCTATATATTCTATATAAATTCCAAATTTTTAATCCCTGCCTTCTGCGACGACAGAGAGACTTTACAAAACTAATATACTCTTTTAACTTTTGATACTAGTTTTTGTAATAACAAAAAGCTTTTTCAACTGTAAAACCCTAAGAAGTATAAAAATAGCTTCCGACGAATTGATTGATTATCATTGTCACGGTAAAAACAAATTGTAAAAAACAGTGCACGAACTAAAGAGTTAGCTGTTATGACATGAAGCTGGCTCCATTTCGGTGTTTAACGAGAAATTACGCAAAAATTCGAAACGAGTTAACACATTTCGCTTATGGGAAAATAGCTCATCAGTCAGATCAGTCAGAGCTTTCCCAAAAATCCAACTGTTAACTACATCGGCCAATATTTGCTCCACTCCATATAGGTAATTCAACTGTCTACCGAGCGAAATAGCGGCAGTGCGCGGGCTTCCGGGTTTTAAGTTTAAAAATACATGTTTCAAAACCGATTTGCATTTACATATATTTAGTGTGCTTTATCATTGGTATGCGTTTCGCGTGGTTACTAATTAGTGCTTCTCTCTCTCGCTTCTCTTTTGTCCGGCTGCGATTGAAACCTTGAACTTCAATATAATACTGTCATCATTAAATAAAACGAAGTTTACCGCTACAAGCTAATACCAATACTGGTACAAACGTTGCTAGTTCAGCAGCCCCTTGGCCGCGATAAATGTGGTTCAGAACGATATTTTGACTTTGCCGAAACTTTGACCTGCTTTTCATTTTCCTATTTATTTATAAACTTTGTCTTTGAATTACATAGATAGTTACTGTTACAAATTAAATATTTGTGAAATCCTTGAGCAGGTATTGTATATTTGTAACCATTTAGAGTTATAAATGAGGTGGCTGTTGTAACAAGTTTAAGCTGACCAAAAATAAACGTTACAGTTTATATACATTTGAATTGCAATTACTTATTTATAGTGCTGTGAAATATATCAATATAAGTGCGCTCTTCGGCTATCTCTTTTCTAACAATATCTATCGGATCATTAGTATCGATATGTGCTGAATGAATATAAGCGGCATAGACAGTTGAGGCACAGATTTTATTGATAGAAAGTAGTACCTCAGATAATTAGTATTTTAAGCTTATATAGTTTATATTAAATATATATAGATAATATCGTATCATAAGTATATTTTTTTATTTGGACAATCTTAATCAATAACCAGTTCTTAAGCGTTCTACTCGCCTACTCGGTCTCATGCATGAAATTATATAGAATTCGAATACATTAGCGAATTTTTAATGCAACATAAATATGTAATATATTATGAAATCTGAGCTCACTATTATGTAGCCACTATAGCCATTACTTACAGAAATAATTTATTATCCACCCTTTTATTAGTACACTTTTTACTGAAACTAATTCTGAAAAATAAAAGCCTTAATTATAATATTAATATAATTATATTGAATATAACTATATTGCTTTTTATTATAATACATATATAGCTCAATTAATTATATTGTATTTAAATTTAAACTTTCCACGCGAATCTGATTTGATATCGATATGTACAGTATTTTTCTATCGATATCGATAGTATTCGTCACAATTGCGCTGCAAAAGTATTATTGATTGGAAAGAAGAAGAAGCAGCAGCAGCAGCAAAAGAAAGGCGCAGCAAGCAAAAAGTACGCTATTTAAAACGAATTCTCATTTCAAGTTTGTTTTAAAGTTGCCTTGATATAAAAATGTTTTATACTCGATGAACTAAGCGACATTGTTTACAATAAATATATTAATATCGGGTGTCCACTTTCACACACATATACACGTACATACATACATACATACATATATATCTATATATCTACTTTACAGAAATAAAAGGCAAACCAGCCAAACGAAATTCGCCGAACAAACGAGAAAAATAAATAAATTCAACTAAGAAAATAATAGAGGAAATAGTGGAATCATGACCAATTTGGAGAAGCAACACGAGATGGTGAAGCGAAGTCTTGTCCAGTTTGTCAGCGCGCATATACCAGGAGCCGACTTTAGTGTTGTGGATGAGATCGTACTTTCCTATATAATATCAATATTGGAAGAGGCTTCTCAGGATCCATGCTTTGATGTCGAGGGATTCGTTGAGATGATGGGCGCCTATTTTGAGGAGTTCTCGACCATCGATCAGGGCGTTATATGCGAATGGATATACAAGCTGGCCAACGAGCTGACCGATATGGAAAAGAATCAAGGCAACCATAGCTCAATCAATTTATCGCTCCAGTAAGCCATGACTAATTATCTAATTAAATTTGAATTTTTTACATGTTCTGGGTTTGGTTAACTTTTTTTTAATAGCGCCTTGAGCTTGTCTAACATTATACCAGAGTCCAAGCTACGTGCTCGCAACTCGTCCATATCCGAAAAGGACGAATTATCCTCGAACAATAGCAGCAGCAGCGGCGGCAGCGGTAACGGCAATGGTGGCGGCAACAGCAAGCGCTCCCAGCACTTGTCTGAAACCAGTGATGGAGGCTCCACTGATAGCTCCAGCTCCAATTGCGATTACTTTTTGGATGAGGCCGAAGTGTTGCAAGAGATGTTTCCCGACACCGCCTACGTCGAGGTGAGTCAATAGTGCATGCCATAATATCAAGTTGCAAATCTGTTTTTCGTATAATGACAAAAACAAAAAATAAATCGTGAATTTATAGTAAATGAGGTCATTTTGATGAAGCGTTACAACAAACACGATTAACTCATGATTTCTCATATGAAATACGAATTTGACATGCTTCCAGATAAAACACTGCATTGCTATATCGAAGGGTGACATTGATAGTGCTACTCAAATCCTACTACATCGCCAGGACACCAATCAGAGCCTGACCGATAAGTCGCACACTATTGGCATGAAGAAGAACGTTGTCGTTGATGATAATGAGCTAAAGAATCGCATTATAGCTAGGTAAATCCTAATTTTTTTTCTATGTATTAGTAGTAATTGCATTTGTTGTACGTCATAGATACTCCTATGTGGATAAGAATGCCACTCAGCGCGAGTACAAGCCGGTGGTGCCCAAAATGGAACCGCGCAAGCTTGTGCGTTATCGTGATAATAAAATTGTGTCGCTTAAGGGCGAACGTTACACTGAAGTCAAGCGTGACGAAGATGCTGAGTTAAAAAAACCCAAGAAGCAGATTCTACCGTAACTAAAGATGAACCAATCCCACAAGTATTTTATCAAGAAGCAACTTAACCCACAACCACCTAATAATACCGCACCAACGACACCTGAAGTTGAACCATGCAGCAGCAGCAACAGCAGCGCCTGCCGCTGTAATCAGAATGTATTCGGGCACAATTTATGCACAGAGCTGCATATCCGTGTAACTAGAATTCAAGCCAGCACCGGTCCGAGTCCCACACACCCACACCAAAAATCCCGTCTGGCTTTAGCGCCAGTTGTAGCCATGCTTAGCCAACGTTTAGATGCTTCCTTGCCAAAATCTACACAACATCAACAGCAACAACTCATAAAAGATGATTTAACAGGACAACAAGAACACCAGGAACAGAAACAGGAATCGAGCAGAAGAGCAGCCGCATTGTGTGACCCGTTTATAATAATCAAGGAATCCTTCCCATGTGAGTTAACTGGTAATTTATTGTTGTTGCTATTGTTAGTTTGCTTTGCCGGTTACTGTAGCCCATGGAATTTTTATCATAATCAGATTGTGGCTAAAGACACAAAGACTTTACATACCAAATTAGTTAATAGTTATGTTTTAGGTAAAACTTTCGCATTTTTTTATGTTAACCTCAATCGGGACATTATAATTGACAACAACTTATGAGTCTCGTTGCGGTGACAAGGAGCCGGCTCCAGTTTATTAGGGGCTGCTGCCTGTCGCACATGACAACGCTTGCCGTCGCACCTGCATGTGGGTGGATAGTATTTGTTAGTTCCTTATGCTCACACAAGAAAATCGCAATCAAAATCGAATTAAAAGAAACAAGAAGAAAAACTGAACTGTGACAAATTGTGCGACCAACTGCCAGAAACTTGCTCGCTTGTGAATCTCGAATCTCGAAAAAGCATCAAAAACATATTTATATAGATAATAATAGAAATATAATTCTAGCCTTGTGCTCCCCACAGACAGGTGCGACTCGAATACGAATTTGGCGCTCAAATAGACTTATTTAGATGATTTTAGGTATTCAAATTGAAAGTGTGTTTTGTGAAGTTCGCGTTTTTAAAACGCAGCTGTACAACAACTTGCCATAAGATTTATGTTAAAGTTCTCTTATATCGTAAACTTGTTTAGAAATATTTTTTTTTATTTTATTTATTATTTGTTTTTCGTTATGGTCTAAGCAAACTAGCAACAGTAACGACAAATGCCATACACTAACTAGTCCCCATCCTGAGAATTCCTCGTCCTAACTGCCCCTCACATACCAAAGCGGCTGCTGCTCGGAAGGACACAGCAATATTATAAAACATATTCAACATATAACAAAACTAATCAATCTTAATATAACCTTATATTTAGCAAGCTTCATTGTAATTCCTAACAACAAGTTGAGAGCCCAGCGCAATTCATATATATCGACATATATATTTATATTTATATTAAAATATTTTTTTTTAGATTTAGGCATCGGTCATCATTCAACGCATTTGCATTACTTACTTTAATTGATTTTTACTTATTGCTATTTAAATTTGTATAATTTTAGACGCGTTCCTTCCCGTAACCACCGTTCGTATTTATATTCAGCTAATTGCTTACAATGTTTTTTGTTATTGTTTCGCTTAAGCTAACCACAGACTAATCGGTATTTATATGTATTTGTAAAAATTATGTATTTACGTATTTCATTCGGTTTCGGTTTGATATTATGCGGATTTTCTCATATTTTAGTTTTATATATTATTTTTGTGATATTAGCGTAAAACAAATTGATTATTACAAGAAAAAGGCAAAACTCGAATTAAACTTTTGAAATTTAATAAATATATATTGTATCCAATAAAAAGAGTGATTTTAAAATTTGGCGCGGAAGTGGGTAAGCTGGCAGCAAAATGCAGCGCTGGTCACATCAGCGCGCGACAAGGGTGTTAGCTGGGTATTTTGAACGATATGGCAACTCTGCTGTTGGGCCAAGATGGCGACTGTAGCATAGTGCGTTTTTCGCATATTCAATTATTCAAGAAAAAACGCTATTTAAAGTCAAAATGACTACAATTGCGGACTTGTTCACAAAGTACAATTGCACTAATTGCCAGGATGATATCCAAGGTATACGTGTACATTGTGCTGAGTGCGAAAACTTTGATCTGTGCCTCCAAGTAAGTATAAGTACATGTATATGTGTATGTATACGCTGATACCCAGCTACAGATAGACTCACACACACCAACACAGACATATCGGGAAAAGAGCTAATATATATATGTATTTGTGCTGACGCATCTAAAACTGTACATATAGCCGGGCGATTTCACAATGTTGTTTTTGAACAGCTGTTTTCTATGGACGCAGTAACGAAAATGCTAAATGTATACTGATGCGTATGTGTAAATGTCAATATGTGAGCATATGATTTAAAACATTAGATATGTAAATTGATCCTGCAGTTCACACGAGTCTAGAGGCATTGAATATATAAATATATTCTCGTATCTGCTTGAAGCCCAGATGAATGTGGGCTTACCGATTAAATCGGTATTCCCCACAATTAAACAACTTGACTCCAGATTAGGGACTGTCCACTTATCGCAAAGTTCGATAATTCGTGAAGAATCACATAAAATCAAGTATTTTTGAACTGTTCCGTTATAATTGATGTTTTTGTTTTCTAGTGCTTCGCAACCGGCGCAGAGATTGGCGCCCATCAAAACAGTCATGCATATCAGTTCATGGACACCGGTACTGCCATTTTGAGTGTATTTCGTGGCAAGGGCGCCTGGACGGCACGTGAAGAGATTCGTCTCCTGGATGCAATCGAACAATATGGCTTTGGCAACTGGGAGGATATCAGCAAGCATATTGAAACAAAATCCGCGGAGGATGCCAAAGAGGAGTATGTAAATAAATTTGTAAATGGTACCATTGGCAAGGCCACTTGGACGCCGGCGCAACTGCAACGGCCCATCCTAATTGATCATACAGAGGATGATACTGGGCCATTGGGTGCCAATGCACTTGCCCGCCTGCCGCCTCTAGAGATAAGCAATGAGGAAGCGCTGCAACTGGGATATATGCCCAATCGTGATAGCTTTGAGCGCGAATATGATCCAACGGCCGAACAGTTGATCTCAAACATTGTATTCAGTTCGGAAGATGTCGAAGTTGATGTTATGCTGAAGCTGGCACACGTTGACATTTATACGCGGCGACTGCGAGAGCGGGCACGAAGAAAACGAATGGTTCGCGACTATCAACTGGTATCCAACTTCTTTCGCAATCGCAACTATGCGCTGCATCCAGGCCTCAGCAAGGAGCAGAAAGAGTTTCGTGATCGTTTTCGTGTCTTTGCTCAGTTTTACTCCTGCAACGAGTACGAACGTCTCCTGGGTTCTCTAGAGCGCGAGAAGGAGTTGCGCATAAGACAGTCAGAGCTGTATCGCTATCGGTACAATGGCATCACGAAGATCGACGATTGCCGGCACTTTGAGCAGCACGCTGCTATGGCGACACATCGCTCCACTGGCCCATATGGGCATGGAAAGACCGTAAGTGTGACATATTATTTGTGTTTGGTCCTTCGTATTTGAATGCATGGCGAGTTGAATATCGTGTCTGCTAGAGCTGGAAAACAAAATTGGCAATTGGCAATTGGAAAACAAGATTTTTGATCTATTTTGAGATAAAGAGTAGCTTTGTTGATTTTCCAGCTCTGGTTTTTAGCTATGTTAGTTGAATCGCAACACAACGCAATGAAACTGTTCTTGTCTCTTGTCTTACTTTCACGATATTCAGCTCCTTTGTATTATCAACGCGCCCAACTCGCAGCGTTTGAATGGTTGTATAAGACAATGTTTAACCACAGGACAACATACATCATTACAATGGAAGTCATCGGCCGCTAAGCTCTTCCTTGCACTCCCCTCAAGCGAATCCCAGAAAGGCGTAAGTCCATTCTTATATTTGCATGGATCATATCATCAATATTTTGTTTGCATCGATTCACAGCGAACTGTTAAGCGGCGTCGAGGCAAGTTCAAGTTCAATCGCACCAAGAAGCATGCACCTCATCGGCGACCCGACCTGCTCCGGCGCATTATTGCCCAGCAGAAACTACTTGGATAGCTATCGGACATCGTCGGCAGCTACGACAACGATGCTGCCGACGACAATGACAACGGCGACGGCAACGGCGATGGGGATGGGGGGGATGAACACGGACATGAGCCAGGGACTGACATTGGAGTCGGCAATGACAGCGACGGCAGCGACTTCCACGGCTACGATGACGGCAGCCCAGGCGAACCTGCCACAATCGACAGCAGCAGCGAAGGGAAACCCACAACATCAGCAGCAGCTGCTGCAAAGCGGCGTCAAAATGCAGCTGCAGCTAAGCGATCCCGCCGCCGCCGCCAGCAATAGTTCGACTGAGGAACAGATGCAGCAACAGCAGCAGCCATCAAGCATGAGCTATATACTGCGCAGCCAGTTGGACGAACTGAAGCGTCTACCGCAGCCGCTGGGCAGCAATTTGCTCACTCACAATGAGCTGGATGTGTGCAAAAAGCACAACATAACACCAACAACCTATCTATCTTTGAAAACTGTCTGTCTTAGTGGTGCTCCATCTCTGGGAAGCCCCATGGAAATCTCGCTGCGCAAGTTCTTTATCAAATGCGGCTGGCTGAGCCACTGAACGTGCAATGATGCCGTCACTTCTGCTGTTGTTGCCATCTCCCTAAAAACATAAACAAATAATTACTTGCTTCAAAGACTTTAATCATTATTTTATTATGTAGTTATATATATAGTTAAAATGTATGATAATAGGTCGCCCTAAACAAATTTTATACTGCTCTATATAATTATATATAAATCTTTATTTTTTGTTTTGTACAGATTTCGTTGTTGCCATTTTAGGTAAACTACAAAACTTCCATTTGTATTTCAACTTTAACTTGTATCAAGTCAAGCGGACAGATTCCCAAATTTCTTAGCAACAAGAATACAAAAAACGAGTTTTGTTATTTAAAACACATATTAATAGTATATGTAAAGCGTGAGAGCTTATAGAAAAGTTCTAGTTCAGCATTCGCTTGGACGCAAAACAAAAAGAGAAACCTAAAAGAATTAAGTTTAAGTAGGGCACCTTAACAATTCTGTATGTGAGTATTTAATGAAGTGTATATGAATTAATAAATGTACTGAATAATGCAAATCGGGAATTTCATCAACAGCTCATCTAAATATATTCTAATACCACAAACCTATCAAAATATATATATATATATAATATAGTGTATATTTGTTTCAATTTTAATCTTAAATAGGCAGAGTTTGCGTTGAACGCATCTACTACAACATCACTTGTTCCTCAGGAAATAACGATATAGGGTATTCTTCTGTGTAGTGGTACTGCTGCTTCCGGCACCGCTGCTGCTGCTGCTGTCGGCACTGGCTGAGCTGCCGTTGCTGGTTGTTGCCTGTTCCACGGCATTGGCTGCAGCTACCACCAGCGAGCTGCGCCATGAGGCAATTAATTCGTTTTGCAGTTCAACAGGCAGCTCTTTGAAGACCTGAGCATCTACACCAGCGGGACAGGCCAGATGCGCCAGTGAATCATCTGTGGCTGCTTCAGTGGTTGCACTGCCCACACTGGGAGCTTGTGCAGCCTCTTGTAACGCTGGTGTCAGAGTAGGTGTGCTAGGCGCACTAACCGTATCATCCATGGGCGAGGGCAACGGCGAAGATGCCGTGGAACTGGCATTGGAGCTAAGGCGACTGGCCGTCCTTGCGGGTATGAAGCGCAGGCTACCATCGATGCGATTGAGCAGTGTGTTGGGCGGCTGAATTGTGCGAAAGCGCGGCGCTGTTGATGATCCCGATGTGGACGCAGCTATTGGACTCATGGGAAAGTCCTTTTCGCTGTCACGCGAATTGAGTCGCAGATCACACACGCGCAGTTTGCTCGGTGAAGCCACATCGGCAGCCGTGTCCGTCACATCACCCGCCAGGCGACTGCGCTTCGACACCAGCACGCGACCAATGCGACTTTTCTTGGGCGAGGGCTCCACTTCCGTTTCGGAGAAATCGCTAAAATCCGAATTGGTGGCTGCCGACTCGGAGCCGTTGTCCAGGAGCATAGGCACTGGAGACGCAGTGGTGGCGCGTCTTCTATAAAACTGATCACTGGGTTTGAATGTGGTGGGTGAAGAGCGAAATGCAGCCTCATCGCCGCTCATCGCTGTCGGACCATTTTCCGACGTAGGACTAGTGAGATTCGTATTAGTTAAGGAAGTGATTGATTGCACCTCCAGATCGGCTTTTTTAATGAGAAAATTGGCTATCGATGAGGAGCCAACTTTGCGTTCCTGAAACTTGGAGAAGGCCAAGCCAATCAATGTGATGTTGAAGGGTTTATTAAGATCTACAATGCGCTCAAATAGACGCATTATGATCTTAAGGAGCTTATCCAACGCTCCATCAGCCAGCTGCACTTTACAGACGCCCGTCTCGCCAGCACAGACCGAGGACCTGAAGAGCGAGGGCAGTATGTTCGCTTGCTTGGTCTCGCGATGGCTGCTCTTCTTCTGGGCATCAAATTTACGCAGAACCACCTTGATGGCAATGGGTATGCGACCGTCCTCGGCAACCTGATGAAGAGTTACACATGGTTACAAATAAGTATCTGTTGATTTGTTTTTTTGTGTTGCTGCTCACCTGCTCCATTAGTCGCTTGAGCAACATGCGAAACTTATCCGTCACATCCGTATGCACCGAGATGGTCTTGCAGGAATCTTCAACGCTGATTGACTTGGGCTTGCCTGTCACACGCACGCAGCTGCCATCGCGGCCCAGTGCCAGGTCACGCAGTTTGGTTGCCGTCTCGAAGCCGAACTTCTTGCGCATAAACTCCATGTCACAATTCTGCAATTGTTCCACACTACTGACGCCCGCCTCTAGCAGCAGCGTTTGCGTCTTTTGTCCAATGCCTGTTACGCTGTGTAAGTCGCTCAGTTCTCGCATAAACTGCTCCGTATACGTAGACACTAGTACTGTCTGCTGGTTGGGCTTGTTGCGACTACCCACGAGCTTGGCCAGCAGTTTATTATAGGCAATGCCCGCACAACAGGTGATGCCCAGTCGCAGATGCAGCTCGTCGCGTATCTCCTGAGCAATACGTGTGCCTATGGCTAGTCGCTGTGCGCAACCACAGCTACACGCTGTCAGCGGAGTGCCGTCTGCTGGGTATATGTGTCCCACAGCTGGTTTGAACTGCGCATCGGCTGCGTGTGCCTGTCGCAGTTCTACCAGCGCCGTTACATCCATATAGTTCTCATCGAAACCTAGCTTCTCGACGTCGGGGGTATAGTTGAGCAGCAGATCGAATATCTTTTGGGACATAAGCCGGTATGGTGCTAGATCCTCGCCATTGACCAGCACTAAATCCTCGCAAAGACGTTTCGCTTCTTCGATAAGCATTAGCTTGGTAACGCCTCTCGCTCTGGCCACATAGTTGCACGTGACCACAAAGTTTTTCTGCTGCACAGCCAGTGGTTGAGTGCGAAGTGCGGGCTCACGCAACTCCTCCACTTGGGCATAGAAATAGTCCATGTCCAGGTGTATGATGGTGCGCTGGTGTGGTTCGCTCTTATTAAGTACGCTGGCGAAATCCATCTTGGCGCCTGACAAAGCGAAAACAAAATATTTAGTTGTTGAAATACTCCATGTATTGAGTAAAGGAGTATATTGGTTGAAATACGACTTGCAATATATACTTTGCTCAAAGTAAAGATAACGAACGAAAGCCACAATAGAGCCAAATTCAACATCGGCTTGAAGTTACAGTTTGACACGCATTACTTTCTAATTACAGTCTTGGAGTCACATATGAGAGCAATAACAAACAGTGCTCAAACACAGTTTTAGAGCTGTGCTCAACGAATGTAGACTAGATCTAAAGTTACCGTTTCACATGCACTTCTCTTTTTAAGTTTACGACTTTAGCGTAACAAAATGTATAAAGTATTTTGTAGTCAAATGTACCCTGCCGAAATGTTTTGTTTTCTTCTATTTTTTATTGTATCTTGAATCATCGTATTTTCGCGTTCTTTCCGCCGCTAAAACAAAACAAAGTGAAACAACAAAAACAACCACCACCCGCCTCCTGCGTCCGCCCGTGACCTTTGAAAAAGAGCTACGCGTGCCGACGCGTCGTCGTCGCTGTCGACACTATTTCGTCACTGAGATCGGAGCAGTTGTCAGGCGGCAGACAGGCGAAGCGAGAGAGTGCAAAGGTAAGAGCACAGCTCTAGGCCAGCGGGTGTTGGGTGCTGCGAGAGCGTCGATATTATGATTTTTTTCTTTCAGCTTTTTTCGCGCGGTGTTCGCCTTGACGTACGTTGAGAAATTGTGTAGCTGCTGTTGCTTGTGCTTCTCCGTTCCGTACGGTACCCACACACCCACAATATCGGCAGCCGACTTTCTAATCAAACAAACGCATGCGAAACAAGATGTACAGTGCACCGGTAAATTATTTAGTTCGTCAACAATATTGCACATATTTGTAATCAAACAACACCAAATAGACAATGATGACGCACAAATTATACAGTAAACTGAGATGGACAAGAGAAAATTGTCGCTCAATGCTAATGGCTGATCACACAAATTTAGCTATTCGACTTGCCCACTAATCACAATTTGTTTGTTATTTACTTAACAACGTTGACATTTGCATAAATACACACAAAAATAATATTTATTTACCTTTTAATAAACAATAAACTAAACACTGCGCAACGCATCGACAACACTTTCGACAACGTTTGCGAATATTTTTGTAACGATAAATGCTAATCGTACGCCGCCACACAAATGTATCGAGTTGTAACTGTGCGATAATCAAAAGTGTGACCGTTTGGGTTTTGTGAGCTATACGATGAATTACTAATGCTGTGGCAACACTGTGCATATTGCCAGCTGGTTGAAAACAACAAGATTGGCGCGGAAAAATATTTAAACATGTTATTCAAGTTAATTGGAACAGTGTGTTATCATGCACAAAGACATTTTCATTCTTATTACAACAATTTAATGGCTGCACTATGAGTGCTTTTTGTTAATGATATTCATGAGTTTTTTATATTAAATGTGTCGGTCAGCAGCGAAGAATGCCATAAAGCAATGTTGCGATAAGTGGGTGGGCACCAACACCAACGCTTGGGGGCAGCTGTGGTCACGCGCGATGCCGATGCCGGTGCCGATGCCGTTGTAGTTGTTGCAACAATATGGGGCAGCTTTATGGCTGGTTGTTTTCTGTTCCTTATTTTGATTCTCTCGCTCTCTCGCTCGCACTCTATCTTGCTGTTGTTGCCTGTGGTGCTTTATGAAATGCGCTTGGAATTTGAGCCAACAACAATAACAACAAGAACAGCTACAACGTTTGCTATATGCAGGCCTTTTCTTAGTCCTACTCGTGCTCCTGCTCGTCCTGCGCCTGCGATAATCGCCCTTTTTTGCTGCTTTGACAGGCAAACAATGCTGTGAATTTTTGATTAAAATCAGGCTGCGTGTGCGTCGCGTTGTTGTTGTTGTTGTTGCTCTTGGCTTTGCTACATTTGCTTGATTTTTCTGATTTTTCTGATTTTCTTATTGAAATCTTGTTTGTGGCCCAGGCAGCCGCAGGCGCTGCTGCTGCACTAATTGTGAAACGCCATAAAAGGCAAAGAAGAGCTCAAATATGGCCAAGCTCTTGCCAGACTGCCAACCAGCCAGCCAACCAGCCAGCCATGCAGCCAGCTTCTTGGCAAATTTTCAATGTTCTTCAAAATAAGAAGAGCGAAAAAAAACTAATTAGTTGCTCGCCTGCTTTTCAGCCAAAATTGTAAAAAAAAAGAAATGTGCACAGGATCAGCCACACGGCGTAGCGAAACGGATGTTCTGGCGCATCCTCTCATTTTAATACCCTGTACATAAATGGAGTACAGGCATGCTATGTTTCTAGCTTCATTCTGTCAAATGCTTAGCACAGTTTGAGAAACAAACTCTTTAAACCACAGTTTAACAGCCACTTCGATGTTACCAATTCATTTCATGCTTAATATTTTAATATTCATATCAATATATTCTCATCTAACAGTTTGTGCAACTTACAGTTTTACAGCCCATGTTTTATTCACATTCTTCATCACATAAAATATGCATTCATCTATATACGCATTTGTGTGTGCAGTTTCAAAATCAAAGTGGGACACTTATAGTTAAGGGCCATTGTGTAAGCTTGCATTTAACAGCGCACAGTCTGACAGCCAGCTTCTTCGAGCTACAGTTTTGCAACAATTGATCTATAACGCAGCCGTTTCGAATTGACCTTATAATGATACACCTGTGAAAACAGTTGTAAGATCACAATCGGCAAGTTGTAGTTTTAGATTCACAATCAGCAAGTTGCAGTTTTAGATTCACTGTAGTTGAGTTTATTTAAGCATAATTTCGATATTATATCGATATTTATTATACACACATAAGCCTTAGATCTATACAGTTTGAGAGTATCTGGCTCACAGTTGTGCAGCCACTAGGCGAAACTGCTCTTCTGCAACTTAGCTTAGCTGTTGAAATACAGAGTATGGGCTCAGTGGGCATTATGCAATTTTAGTCTTTTGCCTTGGGTTTTTTTCGTTTGTGGGGTGTGTGAAAATCGCAAAAAGGACTGCGTATGTGTGTGTGTGTTCGGCTAGTGCGGGGCAGCAAATGTTAATAAATCTTATTTTTATCATTTGGCTATAAATACTGAATTTTTAGCTCCGGCCATGCTCAATTTATGACCATTATTTATGTCGGAAAAGCGAAAACCTCAAACATGTTGCCACAGTTTTTTCTCTCTTTCAGCTTTGCGCCGTGTTGCCGTGTTTGCTGCCCCACCTTCACCCACCTTTGGCGGCTGGCATAGTGCATCCATTTTGGCCTGGCTAAAAGGAAAAGATATACAAACATATTATTGCAATTTTCCAGTTGCTCCGCCCACGCGCTCACTCTACCTCCGTCCCCTCTGTGAGCGAATAAAAGGAAATATGAAAAATTGCATTACACCTTAATAAACACCTCAGCTGGCAGCAGCGATGGAGCGGGGGCGGCGTCGGGGGCAACAACGGCGACTGCATCAGCATCTTGTGGTATATCGCGAATCGGAACTGCTGCAGCTGTGTGCCCTCCAGTGTCCATAATGAAGATTGTCTGCGGTTTAAGTGGACGCACGTTTCTCTTGGAGCCCAACTCCAGCTACAGCTGCGATGGATGCGGCTGGCTGGCAGGTAACTGATCGCGATCATTTAGGCGCTCATCTGGCATAAAATTGTTAGAAACGCCCCGTGTGTATCCACAGCCGCCTGAAGGTAGCAAGACAACATCCCCTGCCTCTGCCCCCCCTTCCCTCCCTCTCCTTCACCCTCTGCCTCCTTTCACTTGTTCTCAAGCGTCTCATAACGTTTTTGCCATTAAATTAATAAATTAATGCGATCGTGCTCGGCCCCAAACTGCAATCCACATGACCAAAGCGAACCCCAAACAAAAAAATATGAGAAAAAACTTGTCAGAATTTTGAAAAACTCAATAAGAAAATATTGCGCTTGCGTTTGGTTCATCAAAAAGCTCATGAGATTTTGTCATAAATTTCTGTGCAGTTAGCCAGAGCAGCTGAGGAGGGGGCAGAGGGCAGATGGGCAGCGGAGCAGCGGAGCAGAGGCAGACGGCGGGGTCTACATGAAGCTGCGCTTTGGACCATGGAACAAAATAAATTCGGCACAAGAGCGCTGCATATTGCACTGGCCCTTGTTATACCCTGTACTTAAGTGAATGCCTAATAAAGGGTATAATGTATTTATGGCTTTATGTGTAACCAGCTGTAGGTGCATATAACAGATAGTGTCTGAAGAGGTAAACTTATGATATAGCTGAAATAGTTCATATATTTATTCACAGTTTTTTGTTTCTATTGAATTATTTGTCATTTTCATTCCATAAATATAGGTCTTGTTAAGTCAGATGCAACTGAGATCAATATAAATGGATTTAGCTCTATTTTAAGATAAGTTTTAACAACGTAAAGTGTTAGGAAGACTTTAAAAGATATCTGTAATCAGTGCATGTTCATTTTAGATGGTTTGACGAAGCAAGACTGATACTATTTTCAGTAGCAATATTTCTACAGTTTTTTAAGTTAGCAATAACAGTTAAATGAGGGAATATTTATTAAGATTTGCCATTTGATTATTGTCTTCTATCTGTGAAATGTTTTGAAATAATTAAGGTTTTGTAACAAAAATTAGACGCAGCTCTTCGGTATTGAAAAGTTCCAATGAGATAAAGATCGATGTGATTGCTTCTTAACTAAATGCGCTCTCAGCCCATATGACAGTTCCAGCTCCATGTAGACTTTTCAGGCATTTCACACAGCAAAAAGTAGTAGCCTACAATTCTATGATAGATATTGTTTATGTTAGATTTAGATACATAAAATGTCTCTCAGCATATTTTAAATACAACTAATCACCACAGTACAGGGTATATTCTGCATACGTTACTTCATTTATACTTAAGCTCACTCTAGTCCATGTCAAAACTCCTTTGTTAGGATCTGCGAAAGCTTTTCTATATCAATCCAATTGATAGGGTATCTGTTAGTCAATCAGTTGCTAATCGATGGCATTATTTTTGTCAGCATTTGTTGTCGTGATCTTAAAGTGGGTGTTGCTAAGTGATGCTGATGCTGCAGACTCAATGGCTGGTTCGACTTGACTTCGCTTGGCTTGGACAGCTCGTGGAACGAGTCTGCCATTTTTGTTATTTTTTTGCTTTTTCTGCTGGTGCTGCAAGCGCGCGTCCAACCGCTGCCTCTGCCCCTGCCCTGACTCCTCCTGCATCATTAACGCGGCCAAAAGGCAATTGCAACAGCAACAACAAAGAAATAATTGCACATGGCAGCAACAGCAACAACAACCAACCAACATGGATATAGCTGGGGCCGTTCCCTTGTTGTTTTGGGTCCATCGCTCGTTCTGTGTGTTGCTCTGTTAATTTTACAGCCATGTCTGATATTGCTAAATGGCTGTGAGTGGATTCGTTTAAGCACCAATTTTATTACCAACAAGCATCACGTTGCATCTGCATCAATTCCAAGCTCCATTCGCTGCGACGGCTGTTGCTGCTGCGGCTGCTGCTGCTGCAAGTGCCTCGGCCAGCATTCAGATCCAATCAGATGCAATCCTTTTGCATTGGCCTCGCCACTTACAACAACAACAAACTTGTTGCCCATTATGAGCGCGGCCAGAGCCAAGTTTTTTGCTGTGATTTTTGCGCCTATTTTGCATTTGGCCAGGGGATTGGCTGCCCGCTAAACCCAAAAACAACGCCCTCCTCCTGCAGCTGCCATTAATCGTTGAGCAACCCCAGCATTAAAGCTACGAACAGCCAAATAGAGCTAATCGTTTTTAATGTGATTTGCGGGCAAAAGAATATACTATAAATATATCAAATATATTTTATATAATATATTTAAACCATGTTTATATCTGCAATAAGACAAACTTTAAGTACAGTGAAATGCAAATTTTCTACTTAAATATTTTTAATATTTTTGGTAGAAGTGTATGAACTTTTTTATGGCTGAGATATAATTTATTATATTTATTTATATTTATTTATATTATATATTTTATATTTATTTATATTATATATTTTCATATATTTTCATGAAAGTGCATATATATATCTATTTAATATTATTTTTTATTTTATTTTTTTGTTTTTAAATTATTTATAGGAAATAAATAAATGACGATTAAAAATTATCAAAATTAAGTTTTG